TTGTTGGCCTCACCTCTTGGGCTGGAGACACAGCTTAGGTAACACAAGTCTGGTAGCCACTTCTTGCTCTAATCCTTTTTGGTGAAATCCCTTCAGCCACAACCCAAGTCCAGTTGCAGTGAAAACAGCCCTTGTGGTCAGTGTCTAGGGCTCAGGAGGGTTTGAATTGGAGCTACGATTTCCCAGCTCTGCAAGCTTAGACAAAGTTTAACCTCCCAGGAAAGTAATATCCCCACAGGAAATCATACTGGGCTTCACAGTGTAACTGAGAGGAATATGTAATTAAGTAGGTGTAGCACTTGTTCATGCCTGGCTGTAGCCCTGAGTATTGGTAACCATCCTTTCATATGAGACAATCCTCATTTGAGTTTGTACAGTGAGACTCATAGCTGCTCCATTTTATTTTTACATTATTTTAAATGTTGTGAAAAGGTCACTTATGTTCTTGCATCAAAGTAATATAAAAAGTAAGAGGTAACATCTGCGTGTATATTATGTGCTAAATTTGTTGTGAGCAATTCACACTTACAATCATCTTATGAGGAAATAACTTGCCCAGGGCCACGAGGCTAATATACCATGAAGCTAGAACTCGACAAAAATTTTGGCTCCAGAACCCACAATATTAACAACCATGCTGAGCTGCCTTTCCCACACATAGTTTAAAAATTTTAACTGGATTATAAGGTTTTTGAAAAAAACAAAAACAAACCCAAAAAAAAAAGCAGTTCTCCACCCCATCAGTGGGGAACCTATGCAAAGGTCCTAGATTTGGCCGCTTCCCCATCCTCTGATGTGAGAGGCTATTGCAACCACACAAATGCTTCATTTTTCAGCATTCCACTACACCACTCAGTCCAATTGCTGGCTCTAGTCTACCTTATCAAATTAAATATATCTTCTTTCAAGTTTCCCCAGGATTCTAGGCTCATCTGCCCACTGGAGGTCTTCTTTAGTTTCCTGGAATTTATTTTTGGTGGGTTTGTCACTCTTCTATTTCTCTGCTCCATTCTGACCAATCGTTAGTGCCTATTTCTCCAGCTATTCCAACTCAACACACAGGGTGTTCTGTGCTTCAGACTCTTTTTGTGTATTCTGTCCAGGATCGCAATGTTCAACCCTATCCCCAGGGAAGCAACTATGGAGCTCAAGGAAGAATTGATGTCTATGTATGAAAATAAACATTCCCCCATCCTCTTATGTCATCCAAACACATTCTTCTTTCATCCTGTAACCTCTGGAGTCAGTGTTGTTTGGAGTTCAAAGGATGGTAACTTACTATTAGCTGAAGGCTTTTCTCAGCAATCTGGAAAAAAACAACCCTTCACTTTATAATTTAGGAGAGAATACCAACAACTCACCTTCTGGCAGAGTTCATGGTCACAATATGAGTTGAAAAAGCCTTTATTCAGTTGTAAGCTAACAGCCAATGCAGTGATACTCTCCTGAAAAGCACTGCTTGGTGTCACTTATCAACCCAGATCAGCTTCAGCCTGTGCAGGGTCCTCCACGCCCCTGCCTGAGCGGGCCTCAGCCCAGTTCCAGCCTGGCTTGGGCCTAACCAATTGGAGCTGCTGCTCATGAAGCCCACAGCTCTGCCTCTGCTGGCAAGGAGCTGACTGGCACAAAATCCTTCAAACTGTGGTCGTCAAGATGGGGTGTGTTTACCTTGGGTGATATACAAAATATCCATGGTATCATGCAGAAAAATGATTAACATTTCTAATTTTTTAAGATAAATGAAATTAACTTTTATTACTATTAAGTGACACCCTCACTGGGATCCAAATGTCATGGGTCACCTCTAATAAGATCAGCATTCTACAGTAAGAGAGGCAAACCCACAGCCTATTATGATGGACTGCAATTTATGTGCTATAGTATGTAGTGGTTCTGTGGTCCCAAACAATGTGTATCCCCTTTAAGAACGCTGTTATTTGTACTTGGAAATCATTTTCTGACCTGTTAAAAGTCTTCCAAACAAAGAATTTCAGTGGATTTTGGCTCATTTATTATTTCATTATTATTGTTTTTAATCCTCACCCAAGGTCATTTTTTCCATTACTTATTTTTTTTTTTAGAGAGAGTGGAAGAGAGGTGGGGAGGGGGGGTGGAGAAAGAGATTAGTCTTTTTATTTACTAGTGAACTAATAACAGGATAATTTTTCCCATTGATTTTTAGAGAGAGTGGTGGGGGGAGAGAGAGAGAGAGAAATATCAATGTGAGAGAGAGACATGTCCGAGGATTAAACCTACAACCCAGATATGTGCTCTTGATTGGGAATTGAAGCCATGACCCTTCAGTGCATGGGCTGATGCTCTAATCACTGAGCACTCTGGCCAGGGCTTGGCTCACCTATTAAAACAGTAAATGCAGCTAAAGAAGCACCAATTCCATTTGGATTTCCAAGTTTTTGAGATGTACTATTCAGTTATGAAGGTCATTAAAACTATCAAAATAGCCGAAACCGGTTTGGCTCAGTGGATAGAGCGTCAGCCTGCGGACTGAAGGGTCCCAGGTTCGATTCCAGTCAAGGGCATGTACCTGGGTTGCAGGCACATCCCCAGTAGGAGATGTGCAGGAGGCAGCTGATCAATGTTTCTCTCTCATCGATGTTTCTAGCTCTCTGTCTCTCTCCCTTCCTCTCTGTAAAAAATCAATAAAATATATTTAAAAAAATAAAAATAAAAAATAAAACTATCAAAATAAACCAGCTAGAATCAGAAATGTTAAGCTATGATTTAAAAAATGTTTCTCATTTTGCTCTCACTATGATGTTTTTAGCACATAAAGGTATTTTGTACTGTTAACCAATAAAATATTTAGAAACATTTAATTCATCACTAAATCATCCATTATATTTTTAATGTGTAAGTAAAACAAGTAGTAAATATTTACATAATATATACAACATTTTAACTGATAAAGATGCCCAAATATTTGGATACTTAAGACTCTAAGGTTCTGTTTCAGTTATGAGCGCCACATAACAAACCACCCAAACTTAATGGTTTAAGCACCATCCTTTCATCATAGCTGGGTGTTGGAATCATTTGATTCACATGTGAACACCTCTGGTGCTTGATGCTGAAAGTGGTTTGGGACCTCAGCTAGAGCTGCTGATTTAACACTTAGACATGGCCTTTCCATGTGGCTGCCTGGGACTTTCTCACAGCACAGTAACCAAGTTCCAAGAGTGATTATCTCAAGAAACAGGGCGTGGAAGCTGCCCGTTTCTTTAAGGCCTGGGTTTGGAAATTGGCACAGCATCATCTACCACATTCTATTAAGCAATCATGGATCCAATATTCAAGGGGAGAGGACCTAGAACCCTGCCTATCAATAGTGGTGAAGGATTTGGGGAGCATGGTATACCACACAGATCCAAAGGCTGGAGCTCAATCCATCACAGTGGGCTCTCTGGCTGTAAACATATTTCCGCATTTACAGAGCTTTCAAGTTTCTCTTCTGATCTTGTGAAGTACCCTCAGCTTGGTTGGTATTTAAATAACTCAGGAATCTTTCCCCTCCTGGATCCTTAGTGATCTCTATATCATCAACTCAGTTTTCCCACTCTGTTCCCAGATCCCATAGAAAAGGCTCCTTTCCCTGGAGCTGTTCCAACTGAACACAGGCTAAAGATCTCTGAATGTGTCAAATGCTCCCCCTACTCTGCCCTCAGGTTACTGGTAGGCTGTCTTTCCACAGGAGATTCACAAACCCAATTTCCAGCTTCTATCTGGGAGGGAGAGTAGGGGGAAGGAAAGGGGAAGATGGAAGAAATGGGTTTAGCTGAGTGACCTGATGACAGGAAGTCATGGTTCCTTTGCAGAGACCACTAGCTGGATGGCAGTCTTCAGCCTAGGAGACCACAGTGAGAACTTGAAATTAAAGCAGATGCCCAGGACAGGGAAGAACTGGAAATCATATCTAAAAGGAGAGATTGGCCCAACTGGCGTGGCTCAGTGGTTGAGCATCAACCTATGAACCAGGAGGTCACAGTTTGATTCCTGGTCAGGGCACATGCCTGGGGTTGCGGGCTCGATCCCCAGTGGAGCTGTGCAGGAGGTAGCAATCAATGATTCTCTCTCACCACTGATGTTTCTCTCTCTCTCTCCCTCTCCCATCCTCTCTGAAATCAATAAAAGTATATTTTTAAAAATAAATAAATAAGCATAAAAATAAAAGGAGAGACTGAAGGGTTTCTTAAACCACAGAAGAAAATAGGCAAAGTGGAAAGTGACAGTGTCTTCATATATTTGATTGCTTGTCAAAGGGAAAAGAGAGACCAGAGGACAAGAACAAACAAGTCAGAGTTTCAAGGAGGCCAATTTCCAAAGGTTATTTTATGGCAGTTTAGGAGAGAGATGATGGCTGCAATGAAAAAAGAAATAGATCAGAGATACATTTTAGAGAACGACTTGACAGGACTTGATGAGAACTACCTGGGGAAGGCAAGGATGAAGGCGAAGGTGATGTCAAAGGCTTGGATTTTAGGGTTGGACACTTAGAATAACTTCTAAGTTACCTCTTATCTCTCAGTATTGAGAGTCTATAAAATTTCAAATTATTACAGGTGTTTTGGGGATGAGGACATGAAATTACCCCTGGAAAGAACCCTTACGTGAAGGATGCCAAGATATGTGGGATGGGCTGGCCTGGCTTCAGTATAGATGGGACAGAAAGGTCCACCCTCCAGCCTATCAGGATACTTACTACCTTTCCTCTTCAGCCTAAACTGTTCTCAGTAGATAAACTTAGTCAAAGGCAGCCAGTCTCTCCCGAGATTCTCTGCCCCACCCAGTTTCTCGGTTACCAAGCAATAGATCCTTGAGAGCCAGTATACTACTACTAAGCACCTGGGGTGTGTGCAGTGTCATATTTACACATTGGGCCATGGGGCTGGGCAGGGCCATTTAAGACACTAGCAAAGATCTGATCTCCATCAGTTTAATAATCTCAAGCCACACCTGAGAACCAGCTGATGCAAACATGTTTATTGAGCTAATAATCAGGCACAAAAGAGGCTGGGAAAGATGTTCCAAAAATATAGGAAAACTGTTAGGCTCTCTCCATTCAACTCAAATACCTTCACTGAGGTGAAGCCCCCACCCCTCTAAACACAGTAGGGAATAGGCACTCTGCTCAAACATAGAGGGACAGAGCCATGGCGCATTAGGAAGGATGGGACTTAAGGCTTCTCTATGACAACAACATCAGGGAAAGCATAGGTTAGAAAGGCAAAGCCCATCTCTTCTTTCCCTCAGAGACCAGGGGCAGGGCCTGGAAGTAATGATTCCTTTTGCTTCCTTTTCCTGTTTGCCTTTTCCAAGTGGTTACATTGTTGAGGTGTCGGGTGGAGATGGAGAGGGGCGCAGAGTCATGTCAGAAATCCTGTAATGAGAAACAAGAAAGGCACAGGGCAAAGATATGACTGCAAGGTCCTACAGATGACAACTGCCCTTCCGACTTCCTCCCAGGGCTACTCCTAAAGCTCTGGACACAGCTGAGCGGGCAGGCCATGGGCTGTGGCCTTTCCACCTATCTGACAGATACACAAGTTACCTGCCAGAATCTCCCAAGGACACACAACTCCTCTTACCCTGCCTTCCACAGTCTGTTTGGGGCCACTCACCTCAATGTTCAGCTCTGTAGAATCTAAGAGGTCCAGCCCAGGCTCATGGGGGGAAGAGTGCTAGAGAGAATGTGGTCAAAAGTCAGAAAGGTCCTTCCCTACCCGCTTCACATTGCAAACAATCACAAGGTTTCCTGTCCAATAACAAGTGTAAGGGCTGCAATAGGTCTCTGAAGCAGCCAGGAAGGGAAGATTAGCAAAAGCAGGATGGGCAGGAGGTTCAAACCTAGACTTCCCAGTCATCAGAGAAGTGCCTCTTCTTCTGACCTGCAGACTAAGTCCCTTAAATTCATTCCATTTTGGAACCTGAGAATGGAATTTTCCCTGAGGGGATTTGAGGAAAGACTACAGAATTTTAATAGACACCTTGCTCTCTAGTCTCTGGTTTAAATATGTCATTGTCTATTTCTTCCTTCTGAGCATAAGGCCTCCGTTCCTCTGCTTAATTCCATTCTTTCTCCCTCTTCAAAGAACAGATAAGAGAGCAGAATAATATCAGCAGTGGACACATAATCCTTTTCAGTTTATAATCCTTTCTGTATTTTTTCATTTTGAATTTTGTGTAAAAGCTCCATTTTAAAGATGAGGAGGTTCAGAGGGGTTAAAGGGCTAACTTGATAAAGTGGTGAAACCATGCTTTTCCTACTAGACTGGCAGCATTTCCTCCTGGGGAAGCAATCAGGCTGGGGTAGAAAAGGGAGTGAGTGGAGGAACAGAGACTGGGGCAGCCCTCTAAGAAGACAGGAAGGCAGGCAGGATGCCTATGTTGCCGTGCCTGTGCTCATACATTATGAAGAGACTTATTGAATGGGCTGCAAGGTTGGACTAGATGACCTTCTATCTCTAGTTCTAGAACTCCTTTCACTTCTTTTTTTTTTTTTTAAATATATTTTATTGATTTTTCACAGAGAGGAAGGGAGAGAGATAGAGAGTTAGAAACATCGACCAGCTGACTCCTGCACATCTCCTGCTGGAGATGTGCCCGCAACCCAGGTACATGCCCCTGACTGGAATCGAACCCGGGACCCTTCAGTCCGCAGGCCGACGCTCTATCCACTGAGCCAAACCGGTTTCGGCTCCTTTCACTTCTTAGATTCAGAGGAAGAATGCTTATTTGGAGATTGAGAGGGGGAATGCCATTCCAGTACTTTTTGGTATTTTAAAATTTATTTTCCCTATTTCTTTAATAAAGATAAAGTCCTAGCAAAATGCAAAGCAACTTACAAACCTCTCTCCTTTACTCTGTGATACTTTCAAAAAGTCCTAAGTAACGTTCAGAGACAAAGGCATCATTAGGACTGATAGAGCAGAATCACTCTAGTTTCTCTTTCTCATATTTGCCTCTAGTTCTAGAGGGAGAAGGGAACGCTGGGTCCACTCACCTTGTCTAGATCTTGCCATTCTTCACCTGACTCATACTGAGTTTCTACCTCTCCTCTGTCTTCGTCCTCTTCCATAAGGCTGAGTCTGAGGGCAAGGGTAGAGAGGTTCCAAAGTGCTCTTTAAAGGCCCGGAGAGTGTCTCAGAGGCACCCCGGGGGAGCAGGGGGGAGCAATAAATAAAGCAGGGCTTTAGGTTCCCATTCCAGCTTTAATCAGTAGCCCTACCTTTATTAGTTTTACATATTAGGGTTCCATATTATATTAGAAGGAAATGTTCAGTGGCTAAAACAATTCCAAAAAGCATCAGCATAGAAGCATTGGATAAGGGGAGAATCCCTTCATTGTGGGTAACAGATCTGAAGTGAAGACAGAAGATGAAAAGAAAAGCTCACCGAGTCAGTTGGTTACCCAGACCAGGACCTGAAGGGTTGAATGGAGCCTGGGAATGCCGTGGACTCAAGAACCTTGACCTCTGGGTGCCTGAAAGGAGTTGGCTGTTGGGAATAATTTAGGATCAATAATGTAGGACAGTAAATAAAAGTGAAGGGTAAAAAGAGGAGGTAAGGTGGCCAGTATTAAAGAGGAGAAAAGCTCAGAGTATAGGGAAAAAGATAAAATGTAAAGCTTAAAAAAAAAAAGAGGAAGAGGAGGAGGAGGAGGAAAGGATTGCATAAGGACCCAAGAATGAGGGAGTGCTGTAGGGGAGAACAAAACAGTAAGACAGAGATGGCAAGACACCAAAGTGGCAAATCAGACACCCAGATTCTCTCCCTCAGTCCTCACCGTTGGGTAAACTCTGATTCTGAGCTGCCTTCTTCTTCCATCTCCTCCAGCCCCTCCAAGGGCTGCCTATTCTTCACAGCTGTGGAGGTGAGGGTGGGTGTGGGTGGGATGCTGTTCAGCTGTAGGCTTTCCTCCTGGGAGGAAGAGATGTCCTCTCTGTGCTGCCTGGAGGAGCCTGAAAAAAGCAGATGTCCATATATTAACTGTAGACCAGGTACTGCCACAAATGTTCTTACTTTTGAAGACCTGCCCAGGATTTGGTTAGAAAAAGTTAAGAAGGGAATGGAAAACCTATATGGCCTCATGTTATGACTAAAATATGAGTGTAGCCCTATGTACTAACAAGGATTATAGAAGTACATATATCTAGCTCTTTCCATCTCCAGCTGCCACCATGTAAATATTCACATCTCCATTACCTTCCCTTCTTATGGCCATGCTTGCACAAAGAAACCAAGAACCTGGAAAGTGAACTGCTACTAGCTTAAGTGGAGGACAACAGGAAAGAGCCACACCCATGAGCTTGTAACCCCCGAGAGGAAAACTTGGGCCTCCAGGTGGGTTCTTCTAATCTCCCCAGCCTATTAATGGAGGCACTCAACCCTTGGGCACCTCCTCTGCTCCACCTTCACTGGCTTCCTTAGCCATTCAAGTTCACATCTTAAATAGAAACTCCCAAATTCATTCCAGCTTTTGCCTCTCCCCTGAATTCCAGATTCCTATCCCCAGCTGACTGTCTAACATCTCCACCTGTAATAACATGGCTAATACCAAAGCCCTGATCTCACTCATGGGCTTCCCCATCTCACTTATTATCAATGCCATCCTTCCAACTGTTAGGCCAAAATTCTTGGGTGTCATCCTTAACTCCTCTGTCTTACATCACACATCCGGTTTGTCAGGAAGTCTTAGTAGTGATATCTTAGAAATATATCCAGTATCGGGCCATTTCTCCTCCTTCCTCCAGTTTATCATTTCACGAAAATTAGTAACTTCTGTGTTTCAGAGGATACCATAAAGTAAATGAAAAGACAACCCACAGAATGGGAGAAAATTTTAGAATATCATATCTGATATGGGACTTGTATCTAAAATATATAAAGGTCTCTTGCAACTCAACAAAAAAAAAAGACAAATAAACCAATTTTAAAAGAAGCAAGGATTAGAATATTTCTCTAAATAATACAAATGGTCAGTAAACATATGAAAGATGCTTAATATCATTAGTTATTAGGGAAATGAAAATTAAACCGCAATTCATTACCACTGGGAGATGAGTAAAATAAAAAAGACAGATAATAACAAGTATTGGCAAGAATGTGGAGAAACTGGGGTTCTCATACATTGCTGTTGGGATTGTAAAATGATGAAGGCACTTTGGAAAACAGTTTGGTAGTTCCTCAAAACATTAAACATGGAGTAACCATATGACTGAGCAATCTCACTCCTAGGTATAGCTGAATACATATATCCATGCAAAAATTTGTACATGAATGTCCACAGCAACATTATGCATAAAAGTAAAGAAGTGAAAACAACCCAAATGTCAATCAACTGATGAATAAATAAAATGTGGCCTATCTATACAATGGAATGTTATTCAGCCATAAAGAAGTATGAGGTACTGATATATGCTAAAGCATGGATAAACCTTAAAAATATTATGCTAAGTGAAAGAAGTCAGACACACGAGGCAATATTATATGATTCCATTTACATGAAATGTCTAAAACAGGCAAATTCAGAGATACAAAGTAGATTAGTGGTTTTGCCTAGGGTTGGGGGATGGGGAGAGTGAGGAATGACTAATTTTTTTAATATATGTATATTTTTTATTAAGATATTACATATGTGTCCTTATCCCATTACCCCCTACCCCCCCGCTCATGCCCTCACCCCCCTGTTGTCCGTGTCCATTGGTTAGGTCTATATGCTTGCATATAAGTCCTTTGGTTGATCTCTCCCCGTTACCCCCAACCTCCCCTACCTTCTCTCCAAGGCCCGACAGTCCAATCAATGATGACTAATATTTTTAAATGTACACTAGAAAACATACTAGCACACCAAACTTGTGATTTCTAGGATATCACTTACGATCAGACTATATAAGAAAATCCGTTTAAAGAAAAACCCTTAGGTAAATTATATGATAGGTAGTGATCTGAAGGTAAAAAATCATGAAAGTTGTGTAAAAATATTTGAAATTTGTAAAATAACAGAATAAAAAATGTTAGGAAAGAGCACTGCAAATGTACAGATTTCTTAGTTCAATCTTTGGTTTCATCATTACTTTCTAATTGATTTTTCATAGAGGTTTGCTATTTTCAGTTGGCTAAATAGACCCTGATAAAAAATTAGTGCCCTTAGTGACAGTAGATGTTCAACGAAATATTTTTTATTTAACCAAAGACAGTAGTCTGAAGGAGGCTACTTCTTATCCAGGCAGTGGCAATAACGGAAGTGGTACTGGGGACCCTGATATCTATACACACAGCACACACACTGCACTTTACCTTCAATGCGCCTCTTCTTGGAGTGGGGGTAGCCCTGAGGGCTGCCCTCTGTTGTGTTCTCTACAGGGCTGAGGGAGTGGCAGTAAGTGGTGACTGAACCCCAGTGGTGGCTGGGTGCCTGGGAGACACGCTGCAGACACTTTTCCAGGTAGGACAGTCTAAGCAAGGGGTGGGATGAAGAGGCTGAAGTGATCACTGGGCCCTCACCATCCCCTTCTTCCCTAATCCACTTCTTTATCCACTCATCCATAACTTACAGTAGCTGCTTGTCCTGATGAACAAGTCGGGGGGAAAACTCTGAAAGGAGCCTTGCCAGATTTGGAGGCTGACCGGAGGAGCCAGCTGGAGGAAGCTCAGACAAGGAAAACTTGATGCCTTCCCTTGGATGAGCAGAATTATTTTAGGAAGATAGTCCCTTCCCACTTCCATCGCAGAGCTGTCCAAGTATACCCTCCTCCTGTCGCCAGCTTGTCTCCCACAGCTACTCATCTACCAACTCGATTGCTCCTTCTCAACGTGCTTATCCTCCCTCCAGGACCTTACTCCCAGCTCTCCCTTATAAAGGCTTTGGGTTAGCCTCTTAGGAATATTCAAGAGCACTGACTTCCAACTAATACTGGCTTACTTGTGTAGCATGACCACAAGGTCACGGTTCTGTAGCTGCTGGGGTCCAAAGCTCAAGGCAAACCTCCGTGCTAGGTCCCTCATCTCAATGAAGGCTGGAAGCTCATTCAGGCCCTGGGGCCCATGCTCCTGCAGCAGTTCTGTGTACAACTGTGTCCAGGAGACAGGATACATTTGGGAAATGGAGGAACAGGTGGAAATAGAGAAATACAGCATTCCCTTCTTTGCCTAGAAATTCTAAAGGACTTTGGATGTTGTCATTTACATTTACTCTTTCTTTCCTCCCAGACACTATCCCTATTCCTGACCCCTGCAGCAGAGAAAGCCTTCACCCCTGCTCTATAACAATAAGTAAAATTGTCTGTAGCAACCAAAGGAGGTTAAAGAGAACAGATTAAAAAAATTAGAAATTCCCTTCACTTTATTATTGGTACTCCTAAGTCCCAACTAATAGTTAAATTTCTATCGAGTTAGGGTGGAAGCTGCCTGTCAGTTAAAAAATACTTTCAGCTCTAGCTGAGCGGCTGTTAGTTGGAGCATTGTCCTTTGTAACAAAAGGTTTTGGGTTCAATCCCCCGTCGGGGTGCACTGTGGAGGCAACTGATCAATGTTTCTCTCTCACATTGATGTTTCCCTTTCTCTAAAAGCAATAAAATTATACTTGGGTGAGGATTAAAAAAGAAAAACTTTCTATGTGTCTAGTAGTTATGAAGGAGACCTTCATGTAAAGCAATAGTGAAAATAAATCAGAAAGTTCCTGCTCTTAAGGATTTCATATCCTAAAGGGCTGGGGGTGGACAGAGAATCTGTATCCTATAGGAAGGGCATGTCATAGTTTTGGGCACTCTAGGCAGAAGGAAGTACCTGCTTCAGGCTCAGCAGCAGGATTCGGGAACAATGACTTCGGTCCATCTGCCTTGCTCTAGTTAATGTTTCCTTGATAATGTCACCATAGTCACTGTAAAACTGAGGGAGAGGAAATGGAGAAGATAGTGTTTGACTACAAGAGAAGACCATTTCTTCTTCACATTCCTAATTATGTCTCCTTCCAAAAGTCAATCAGTTAGGGAAACATAAATCTACGTATAAAACAACTTAGAGTAGACCTTATCTCTAGCCAAGAGGTGTAAAACCCCAAATAAATCAGAGTTTAGGCAAATAAATAAGGGAAGAAACTCTGCTGTGAGCCCCTTTCTTGGAGAATAGTAAGCCTGCTAGTGCGTACTCTTATCCAGCATTTAAGTCTTTACTAGTTTTCTCACACTACTAGACGAGTAGCTCCATGAACAAGGAACTTTGTCTATTTTGTTCACGGCTTTGCTCTTAGTGTTTGGACTGGTGTTTGGCACATAGATACTCACTAAACAGGAATCAATGCAATGGTGGGTTGAGGAAACTTGAGATTCACATCTAGATATCATGTGAAAATTGATCCCTCTTCCATTCTTTGTTTTCCTTCCTAGATTACCCCATTCCATAGATTGGGTTCACAGAAATGGATATGTCCCCTCCAATGAATTTCTTCCTCCCAAATACCTTCCCCCCATAATTATTTACTATGAAATCCCTTTTCTTTGTTCCTTTATTCTAAACTCCTATTGCCCTTTCCCTGCTACTTCTCCCTTAACCGTGATACCACAATCTCTCCCACTCTCCTTTCTGTAATGCTACAGTGTCTGCATTCATGCCTGTAATCAGCTTGGTGCCTCACTGTACCTTGTTATAGTGTTTGAAAACATCTGAGGCTGCATCCATTTCCAACACCCCAAAAAGCAACAGCTTGCAGAACCCAGCCAGGAGGCGGCGCCGCTGATGCAGTTGCTCTATCTGTAAATGATCCTCCTGGGAATGACCTGGCTCATATCAAATACAGAATGGAAATATCAGAATCACAGATTTAGGCCTCTTGTCCTATTTGCCTGAGGCAGGCCCCAAGCCCTAGACCCTTCCTGAGCCCCAAGTAAAGAATCCCTGTACCCTTGACCATTTCTCCAGGCTGGATGAAGACGTGGTCCATGAGGAAGCTGGCTAGCTCAGACTGGAGAGTGGCTTCAGGAAGAAAGACAAGGGGCCTAAGGAAATCGCGTCCCCCCACAATCATCTGAGGGCTGAAGATGATGAGTATATCACTTAATAAGACAAAAGCCTGTTAGGGAGAAAAAAAAGAATGCTTAAAAAGGACAAAACATTGATCAAGATCAAAATTACACAACTAATTTCTCCTTAGAAAGGGATTCCTCAAATGGAAAGACTTGTCTCCTTGGTCCCACTTGATTAAATGCTCACCTGTTCCTGGATCTCAGGATCCACATCTGAGAGGCAGCTCTGGCAGAGTTCACAGAAGGCTACCATCCTGCCCTTCAAAGTCAATAGCTGTTTCTGTGGAGACAGTGGCCTCAGGTAAAAGAATGAAGACACAGGCTCCTTCATTCCCATTCCCCCTGCTCAGACCCATATTCACCTGGGAAGCACCTGATCCAGAAAGGTGGGTTAGTGTCCAGAGAATGGAAAAATAGACAAGAGTCAAGGCTGGCAGGATCACCTGTAACAACCAAATGTTACAAAAATGAGGGATGGGTCAGGAGAGTAAGGGGAAGGTAGGGAGGGGGAGAGATAGAGTAAGGAAGGGAGAGAGAGAAGGGAGAGGTACACACAAAGCAGTAAAAAGAGGCAAAGGGGGGAAGGAAGAGAAAAAATGAGATCCAATTCCTTTTTTGGTAGAAAATAAGTGGTTTCAGACAATCTTCAGATATTATCCTGAGTAAAAATGTCACCTCTCCCTAGTTTATTTGAAGTCCTTTATAATCTCTCAGTTTTATTATCCTTGACTCTCAGGAAGCCGAAAGGATAGCTGTTTTTAGGCACTGGAAAGTACAGTACACCTTCCAAGAGTGAAATGGAAGGACAATGCACATGTGATCTTCCACCTTTGTGGTCTAATCCACATCTCGGGAACTGGAATTTCCTGAGAGAGTTAAGAGATGGTGCCCTTAAAAATTCCTCTCTGCCTCCACATCTCCAACTTGTCTACTTGCCTGGCGAGGAACTGCTCCTGTGTCCACAGCCTTCCGGAGGAGTCGGTAGCATGGCTCATAGAGCTCCCATCGAGTTAGGTCATGAGCACTTGAGGGGGAAAGAAGGGAAGGGAAATGTTATACCAGAACAGAACAAGAAGAGTCAACTCCGTAGAAAACAGAAGTAATTGAAGAGGAAGGAAGAGGCTCACTTGTAGAAGGCAGAGAGGCGCTTCATAGTGGCTGCCAGACTGTACACCTCATCCTCATCTAGGAAGGACGACTGAGGATGAAAGAAGGTCCACAACTGGATTTTCCCCAGGAACTCACTGATCCAGTTTCCCTGCCTGTGGCCCGCTCCCACTTGAGTGTGGTGTGTCCTGTCATTCAGTCCACTCCTACCTGCAGCAGCTCTTCAAGTTCTTGCTGGAAACGGTCAGTGAGTAGATCCACTAGTTGGCTGCGGGCAAAGTCCACTCGGCCAAAGAATGTGAACTCAGGATTACAGAGCAGATAGAGGGCATGAGCTCCAGCCTCAAGCACTGCTGGGTCTGCGTGCTTCACCACGACCTCCTGAAGTTGCTGTAAAAACAGCTCCAGGTGCTGAGAGAAAAAAGGGGGCAGAAGCTAGTGCTGTTAGAAAGTTGGGGAGGACCATTCTTCTGGAGGGGAGTATAGCTGAGGGAGGTAAGAAATTGGGTTGAAAGTATTAAACTTCAAAGACGAGATACTTAACAAAGGGAAGACTGATTTTTCTGAAGCCCAGGCTTTTTGAAAAGAACCAGATACTAGCAGTAGAACCTTTGGCCCTAAGAGGGAAGCAGCAAGGTAGAGGAAATACATCCTCCTCCTCACCTTCTCTAAGCGCCTGGTGCAATAGATGTTGACGTCAAAGTAGTTAAGAAGCTGGAGCAGGGGAGCAACCTTCTCTGCATCAGCTGAGAACTGTGATTGAGAGGGAAACCAACTTATTAACTAATATATTGTTAATTCTTACTCCCTTTCCTCGTGAGAGACCATTTTCTTTTCACCCTGTCATTCCCAGATGCTGAACAGTGGGGCAGTTCTACCTTGGCCAGGAGCTGAGGTAACAGGGGAATGAGGTGCTCAGTCAGCTTCACCTTGTCATCCGCTTGAATCTTACGTTCTTTAGGGGTTAAGCCCTGGAATTAGAGTCATTTGGGGGTGTGGGAAAGATGTGGAGAAACACTGGGTCCAGAGGGCATGTATGTGTCTCTCTTCTCCCCACAATCTTATCTATTTAGGAAGGAAAAGAGAATTCAGTTCCCTTCAGATTTTTTTTTTCTGGAAATGGAATTCTTTGAGGGTCAGAGAAAGGATAAAGATGGATAATACCTGTCTGGATGTAATATTGCCAATCAACCTACTCCACCCCTCATGCCATACCTTCCTCCCAGTGACCCGTCCCACAGGCGGGTGACCCTCTGAAGCTTGTCGAACACTGGACACAAGGATTTCTATCAGCGTGCTCTCCTGCACATCGCCCAGATCTGGGTTGGCAGGAGGATGAAAACACAGAATCATAGATTAGCCACCTTCCATCTCCGCATCTTCCCCCACCCCTGTGCCGCCACTGCCCATTACATCTCTGCCTTTTACAATACAGGAAAGAAATATCTCTTGGTTTCCTACTAGGAGGTGAAAGGTACCTCCCACCCCTGGCTACCATATGATACGAACTCTGGTTCTTCTCCAGCAGCAAGCTTGTCAGACTCTCCCAGTCCTTCAGCTGAGACCCTGCACAGTCCCACAGGCTGTCTACTAAGTAAGCAGCATGGTCATGGAGCTGTGGAAGAAGGCATACATTAAGCTACTGAAGCTACATTATAAAACTAAGAAGTGGCACCATGTCCCTCCTTCCTATGGCGCCAGCTCCCATCCATTTCTATCTGCAGCTCTTATGGACAACAGCCAAACAGCTCCTTCCTATACATCACCTCACTCTCCACAAAGAAGGACAGCAGGAGGTGGAAGAAGGTCCTCTGGGCGTGTGGACTTCGGCGCCGCTCTCTCCCACTCACTGTTCTTGTCTCATATTCAGGGTAGAAGAGCCTGGTTGAATGGACACAAGAAAAAGGCACAGCATGGGAAGAAATAATCACCATAGAGGGAAGAAATACTAGTAAACCAAGGAGAGATATGAAAAGAAAAGAGGTGCAGACCTAAGGAAAGCCCTAAGGAGTTGAGAGGGAAAAAGACTCTGAGACTTTAATAGGTATGGGGCGTTCTTAGCAAGAACAGCAGCAGGTGAGGGAGAGAAAACAACAGAGGATGGTGTTAAAGAAACACATGAAAGGAGCCCCACTCACTTCCAATACAGAAACTCCCCCGCAGCACAGGCCAGGGCTCGGTTAGAGGCGTACACAACAGGGTAGATGCTCTCACAGTCTGCATCTGTCAGCACCCCTTCCATGTTCCTGTCAGAGCAAAGGAGAAAAAGGCGATAGATATGGATGTAGTCTTCCAGCACAACTAAGGACAGAAACAAAAAGATGCAAAAACAATGAGTATTAACTCACAAAGTACTTTTAAATGAAGTGTGTAAGTCAGAGGAGTATGGAGAGAGAGAAGATAGAAAAATTCCCCCCTGGAATTATTGCAACTTAGAAATGATCTATGTCTTTTAACTTGCACATAAGGAAGAGTCAACCTATGCTAGATGGCAGGACAGTACCCTGGAAAGACCTGTCTGATGGAAAGGTAAGAGTCTGAGATGCTTGCTTCCCCACTCCCCAGGACTCACTTAAGGATAAGTATTAGCAATCTGACAGCCTCCACTGCCACATCGTACTCTCGGTCCATGACCATGGATACCATTCGGTCCTGCAAGAAAAAAACATTGATTGAAACCTCACTGTATCCACCCCCCGAATCATGTTCTTTTAGAATTTGAGATTCTTAAAGAAAGAGAGTAGAAGCAGATGCTGGGATAGCTACAGATACTAGTATATCTAAGCAACAGAAATAGAAAGATGAGGTGGGGAAATGAGAGCCACAGGAAGGAATCAAGCACACAAGTACTGTCGCAATTTTACCTTGAAGCGGCTGGTGAAGAGCTCTAGGCGTGAAGTCAAGTCCCGGTTGCTGTACAACTCTTTCAGAGCCTTCAGGCATTTCAGACGAACCTCTCGATGCTATTGAGGAAAACGGAAGTATGACTGACTACTCCTCTGCTCATCCTCACTGGGCCTCTGTATTTCCCCCTGCCTCAAATTACTCATTCTGAGCCTCAGTGTCCTCTATTCCAAGGATACTGAGACCTAAAAGACAGTGAACAGCTATCTTATTATTTAAAAAATAAAAGGATCACAGCAGAACTCAGCAATCATAATGAGAAGGATCTCTGGTTATCACCCTAGCACCTGCATTACCAACCCATCAATAACGTTCTTTACTTTCTCCCCTTTACTCTGGTTTTGCGGTGTTTTATTCCCTGGATAGGTCTTTCTCCCTTCTTATCCTCCTTCCGCAATACAAGGTTCAGGGCCTTGATGGGTTGGTCACCAATGACTAGTGAGACACCTAAGTGGCAGGACTAGGAAAAGCTGAAGTGTCCTAGGGCAGGGAAAAGAATGAGGGGAATAGAGGAAAGGCAACTGACTCAATTCTCACCTTATCATGCAGGGTCCAGCCAATATATTTTAAATAGCTATCAGTGAGGAAAGAGCTACTGTAGCTTTGCATCCAAGACCCGAGCTCCTCGATACAGATAGCACGAATCTCAGGAAGGACATCCCTAGGCATAGAGAGATAAATTGTCCCTTATCACCTTCTCTCCAAATTCACTTTCCATCGTACCAGATAATCTCCCTGTCATAGAATTTATTTTCTTGACTAAACACCATGTACCATGCCTTTCATTAACTCTTCCCGATGTAAATATGATAGATAAAAAGTAAACATTTTCCTTCTGTTACCAGCCCATAAAATAGTTGATCTTATCCTCCCTGCCCCTTTTACAAACTGATTTTGGAAGTTAATTTAACCATTGGCCCAATAGTGTGTGTGTGTTTTACCTCCACTTCAAGAAAAGATTAAATTAGCTAAAGGGTTCTGAAAAGGTACAGGCTAAAATCTAGATAAGAGTGAGAAACAAATACAGATGAATTTTTTTTTTAACTTAATTCTACCCACTTTAAACAGTATAAAACTCCCCACCTTTAGCATAGTGAAACAGCAGGCTGGGGTTGGAAAAGGCTTGCCAAGCTGTACACCCTCAGAAAATCCCTGCCTTTTCTCTCTCTGCTCTTATCCTCTCAAGTCTCTAGGCCCAGGACATGGGAGACAGGGAAGGTATTGGATAAAGTTGGAGCAGAATATTCAGCAAAGCCCTATTCCCTTATTTTCTTTCCCAGAAGAGCTTATAAGATCCTTTGTAGATGGGGATAAACTAAACCTTACTAATCTAACATATTTGTTAGTTTTTTCTCTAGCTGCTTTAGTTCTAAGACTAAACTAATAATTCTGAGTTAAGGAGGGGGCCTTGTTACTTCTACAGACTCTCTAACCAAGGACCAGCTGCTTCAACGAGAAGAGCCCATTAACCTACCTGTACCGATGTACAAAGACACCTCTGAAGAGGGCATTCATCATCCCTTCAATCTCCTCTTGGTGCTCTTGGAGCTGGAGGACAGGAAGGAACAGGTCAATTTCTCTTGTACGCCAGCAATATAAGGCCACAAAAATATTTTAAAAGTATGGCTTACACCTATTTTCTATTTATTACAGAACAGTCTGAACCTTGGTATTTTATGTTCCTTTTAAACCTAATTCTGAAAGACACTGTAGTCAACTGCTACCTCAGAGGCTTATGTTTGGAAACAGTAGTATCCCCCTCTGTACCTGGCTATTTTTACCATCTTTGGCTATTCAGAGGCACTAGCTGGTAGTTACATGTTTTTGACTAACAACAAGTGAGAAAATGAAATTTTAGTAAATGTAGTTTGTTTGACAGAAGATGTGGAAGTAGCAAAAAATGAGAAGGAAGAGATTACATCAGGGGTGGGGAAAGTCCGGCCGTATAAGGCCAGGAAATCATTTGGTCTTGCCTACCAAGGCATTAGGGGTGAGTTAATTGTTTGACTAAATATAGCAAGCTAATTTTTAAGTTGATAATTTTGTATGGCTATGAATGATGTTATAAATATCCAAATGGCCCTTGGCAGAAAAATGGTTCCCCACCTGTAAATTTAAATCAATGGTTCTCAACTGAAGGCCCTCCCCAGGGGCATTTAGCAATATTTGAAGACATATTTGGTTGTCACAACTGGGGGTTACTATTGCCATCTAGTGCTAGAAACCAGGGATGCTGCTAAGCATCTTGCAATATCAGGACAGCCCCTGCAAATGTCAACAGTGCCACTATTAAGAAATCCTAGGCTGATGAATAATAGATACCAAAGAAGAAGAATTATAAGGAGAATTACAAGGATTACAAGGTATCAGAACTATAAAAGAACATCCTTTAAGATAACTAACACTAGCGCTTCAATAAGTCAATATGTATACTGTAGGAAAATGGGGAGAGGCAAAGGTTCTGTTTAAGATTAAAAGAGACTTAAGACACATAACAACCAAATGTAACACATAATTCTTAATTAAGTCATGGTTATAGCTAATCAAATATAAAAACCATTTGGGGAACACATGGGGGAATTTTAATATAAATTGGAATTAGAATCTATTAGGGAATCATTGTTAGTATTTTTGGATATGAAAATGGTATTGGGATGATGTATAACTATGTCATCTTTTAGAAGATATATTTAAGTCTTTAGGTAGAAATACCAGTATGTCTACAATTTACATAAAATAGTAAAAAAAAAAACAGAGCAAATATTAGTTGTTAAGTCTAGATAATTTGTATATAGTGTTTGTTCTAGCAGTGTCTCTATTTTTGTGAATTTTTGAAAATTTCAAATTTAAAAGAAAAAGGAGAGGGAGGGGGGGAAAGAGGAAAGGTAGATCATCAGCACCAAATTATATAGAAGTTTGGAAAAGGGAGATTGAGAAAAGCTCACTGGCTATAGGGATTAGAAAGTCACTGGTTTGAGAAAAATGAGAATGGAAGTTAGGCAGCAAAACGGATTTAGGTGGATATAAAGATAAAGTTAGGAAATACTTTCTCAAGAAGAGTAGAATGAAAGAATGATTCAAGGGCTACATATAAGTGGAGAGAAGAAACAGTGGGGAGAAAGAGATTAAAGACAAAAAGGGGGATACCTGATGAAGCAAGAGCATAGAGAAGTAAAAAGAAAAAGACACTAGTGTATTCTTATAATACAACGTGCCTAAGATTTGAGATAGAACTAATACATACAAGATTTAAGAGCATACTCACAGTGAAAGCTGAAAGAAAGAATGAGGGAAATAAAAAGGTTCCTTCTCTAATGATTTAGCACAGACGGAATTTTTGGCAGGGTTGGGAAAATGATCAATTGGTATAGTCAGACTGGTGAGTTCTACCACCTCATGGTGGGGAAGTCTCAGATACCAAGGGAGTGTGTGTGTATGTGGCAGGGGATCAGTGTCTAATCTTATAATGGATACAGCTGTTTAAAGGTTTAATCAGTGTTAAAGATTCTGTTAGGGCTTATGTCCTCCAGTGGTCTTTTTTAAGTGCCAGGCTAGGCAACTTACTTATCTCATTTAATCTTCATTAAAAGGTACAATTATACCCTTTTTAAAGAAAAGGAACTGAAACTTAGAGGTGTTACACAAGACCATGGAGCTAGTAACTAATTGGAACAGAATTTAAACTCAGGAGTTACTGAAAGGCCTGTACCCTTTCCATTCTTTAAAAACTTGGCTCCTCCACATCAGTGGTTGGCCTTAGTAATCTTGTGGTGACCTGTTTATTGTATACTTGACAAGAACTTAACTCCTTGCATGATATGTAGGCACAACACCCAAATACTTCTATAATGAATGCAGACAAAGAAAACTGAGCAAAAGTGGAATTATAGAGAATTCTAAAATTTACTCTAAATTAGAAATGATAATAATTGAGCCCACATCCCAGAAACAAGATGAGCGTGCAAAGACCTCTGACAGGATGGGTCTATTAAACTATTGCCAGTCTCCATTATTCATCATCTGAAAGGGTGCTTGGGGACCTGTGCCTTCCAAGAGAAAAGCGCTTGGGGACTGATACAGCAGGCTGTGGCAACAGTGAATGACAGATGGAAGAGAGGGAGGGAAAAGGCAGGGAGCACTTCTCACCTCTTTGCGTTTCTCCCACAGGCTCTCCAGCCGCTCAGGTGCTCTCTGTGCTGGACTCTTATTTCGTTCAGCCTCATACTGACGCTGACTATTGTCTTTGTGCAAACTCAGTTGGAGGGCTACTCTTACCAGAGAGGTCATTAGCTTCATGGCTTTGAGTCAGGAAAAACAAGATAAGGCAATCATTACTTAAGTCAGGGGAGAGAGGGTAGGTTAAAAAAAATAAGGGAATGAAAAGCAGTGAAAATGAAAAACTAGAGCAGTGTGGCCCTCAAATCCCAAGACTATTCTAGAGTGGACTTTTCTTTCTCCCTAACCCTATTTGGCTTTTTTAAATACTCAGCGTATTCCCAGCAGTGAGTTATGAGAAACATAATAACGCTGGAAATGGTCACTGTGTACAACTCCACTAGTGAGAAACTAAATTGGAATTGGGATAAAAGAAGCATGGTCTTGAAATAAAGAGCTAAGATGCAAGTGCAAAAGAAGATCCAAGACTGGAGAACAGAAGAAAGTCCTAACAATCCACAGGAGAACATTTATAGAGTAAAATGAGTGCTCACCAGCTAGGGTACTAGTGTGACGAAAGGCGCGGACTTGGGAGTCTGACAGGCCAGTGAGCAGGGAGATGAGGTTATCCATAGGGAAGCCATCATAAAGCAGGCTATATTGGCACTGATAGACCAATGTTCTCACAAATTCACAGAAACTACCCTGGAACTTCTTCCAGGACGGTCCTGGAGCTGTCAGAGGATAGTCTCCTGAGTCCTACAGAGGGTTTGAAAAGAATGGGAACTTTATTACCAGGTCTATGAAGCCATAGGGACGTTGGATGCCAAAACCCAATGTACAGTCAGGTCAGTGTAGCTTAGTGGTTGAGCAGCGACCCATGCACCAAGAGGTTCTAATTCGATTCTCAGGGCACATGCCTGGGGTTGTGGGTTCAATCCCCCAGTAGGGGGCCCACAGGAGGCAGCTGATGTTTTTCTCTCGTTGATATTTCTTTCATTTTTTTCCTTTCCATCAATATTTCTATCTCTCTTTAAAAATCAATAAAAGCATCTTTTAAAAATCCAAATGTATAGTAAATATATTATCTCTGTTATACCTCATTTTTTGCTTTCTCAAATCTAGAGGCATATTCAGATAATATCTATGGATCCCTTTTGACCCCACAAGATTGAACTTCTAAAAGCTATCACATTTCCCAGAATCAAAAGATGGGGATAATGAGTCTTGTGCTTTGAAATGAGTGACATAATGATCTTGGTCTTCTCTTTCCACCTCATTAAACTGTTCTGTTAGGTGCCGGATGATCTCCGAGTTGGACATCTTCTTGAACATCTCAAGGGTCACAGTGCCTAAGGAATGGAAGAAATGAGGTCTTTACAAGGAAAACAACTGAACACCATGACTATTTGTATATACATCTGAAGATGCGCTAGGGAACATATTGAAAAGAACTTAGGTGGGGAATCAGAAGACCCAAATCTGCTATCATCTAACTGTATATCTGCAACCATTCTAGAAAACCCAAAGGAATCAAGCAGTGGAAAACTGCAGTTATAAAAAGTTCCCGCTCCGCTCCGCTTCCCGCAAAAAACAGATTCTGGATTCTTATAATACAACATGCCTAAGACTACTTGGCCCAATAAATTAGGTCAAGGCCTCTGGTGGCCCATAGCTTCAGTGAAGAAATATGCTCTGAAGTGGCTGAGAAATAGGAATAAGAAAATAAGCCCTAGCCAGTTTGGCCTTGGATAGAGCGTCAGCCTGAGGACTGAAGGGTCCTGCGTTCGATCCGGTCAAGGGCATGTACTTTGTTTGCAAGCTCCTTCCCAACCCAGGCCCTGGTCGGGGCTCATGCACGAGGCAACCAATTGATGTGTCTCTCACATGGATGTTTCTCTCTCTCTCTCTGTCTTGCGTTCTCTTCCACTCTCCCTAAAAATCAATGGAGAAATATCCTCTGGCAAGGATTAACAAAAATAAATAAATAATATTTCATCTAGAGAGAGGAAGACTAAAAGATATCAGATGGGACCATTTTAATTTGTGAATATTATTAGTATGATTAATCATTTTTCCACAAAAGGTCTTGTCTCCAAACCAATACAGTTCCCTACTGGATCTCTATTTACCAGTTAACAATATAGTTAAATAAGTGAAACTTTTCTTATGCTTTAACCTTCTTTCTTCATTTAGGAAATGCCTAATCCTACTCTTCTTAATGGAAGTTTCATAACACAAGAGCAGAAGACTAGAGACCAGAAAGGGGTAGGAGTTTCCTCACCTTTACAGCCACAAGATCGGATAAAAAAGTTAATGAGATCCAGGAATCCTGAATCCTGGTTTTGCTTGTAGCTCTCCAGCCACTCATCCACCAAAGACTAGGAAAACAATATGGATGATTTATATTTTTGGCACTATGACAGACTATAAGTCCTGTGTGATCTTCCCAAGTGAAGCATCTAAATTTCTGATTAAATTTTTTAAAAGTCTTTTAAAATTTATTGCTGAACTGGAATGAAAGGTGAAATTCCATATGGCTAAAAATAAAGTGAAGGTAGCAATCCTTAGAGATAAGCAAACTGACTGTTGTCCTGAAGGTTTCTATTAAACCCTGAGAATCCTGACTTTCTGTCCAGATGGCTACATGGAAATCAGAGCATAGGAGATTGAAACTAAGCACTTTCTAAGAAAAGTAGTTCAAAACGGAGGCTCCTGCATAAAGCTAAGTCCTGCAAAGAGTCACATCCTTATGAAAGCAAGAATGAGAAATAAACCTACAGGTCAGAAGAAGACAAGAAAACTAGCCAGCTATGACCTTAGTGTGAGGTGGAGAGAAAAAACAACTGTTCCTTGAGAATTCATAACCATAAACCAGCTCTCAGATCTAGATTTTCAGTCCATATTCATACTATCTATATTATCAGAATAATGTCAATTAGAGAATTTAATTAAAAGTAATTGTGGGGAAAAAAAGAAAAAAAAATGATTGAGGAGTATCCCCAGTTAAATGCAGATTCCTCTCTTAAAAACCCAACTTTAGCCCTAACCGGTTTGGCTCAGTGGATAGAGCGTCGGCCTGTGGACTCAAGGGTCCCAGGTTCAATTCCGGTCAAGGGCATGTACCTTGGTTGTGGGCACATACCCAGTAGGGAGTGTGCAGGAGGCAGCTGATCGATGTTTCTCTCTCGTTGATGTTTCTCTCTATCCCTCTCCCTTCTCTGTAAAAAATCAATAAAATCTATTTAAAAAAAAACAAACAACTTTAGCCATAGCTGGTTAGGCTCAGTGGAGAGAGCATCAGCCTGCGTACTGAAAGGTTCCAAGTTCGATTCTGGTCAAGGGCACATGCCCAAGTTGCGGGCTCCATCCCAAGTAGGAGGTGTGCAGGAGGCAGCCGATCAATGATTCTCTCATCAGTGATGTTTCTCTCTCTCCCTCTCCTTTCCTCTCTGAAATCAATAAAAATATATTTTAAAAAAACACACCCAACTTTAACCCAGGCCTCTAAAGAATTCCAACATACAGAGCTCCATGGAAAATGAGTGGATCATAGTAAAACCTAGTAAAGAAACAAGGCACTGAAAGTAAGAACCAGCAGGAAAAACAGACAACAGAATTATATTCACAGACTTTACACATTGAAGTTATCAGATTATAAAATTATTATGCTTACTATGATTAAAGAAATAAAAGAGAAGCTTGAAAGTAGAAGCAAAGAACAATTAATTTTGAAAAGGACAAACAAAATTTGCTGGAGAAATAGAATAAAATTTAAAACTTCAATTAATAAATTAAAAGCAAATTGGACATAGCAGAATAGAAGATGAGTAAACTGGGTGATTAAGTAAAAGAAATTATCCAAATGCAGCCAGCTCAGAGACCAACAGAAATAGTGAAGGAGCTATGAAGAGACATGGAGAATATAGTGAGAAGTTCTAATGGTATCTACTTGAATTCTAGAAGAAGATAACAGAATAAGGAAGAGGCAATATTTGAAAAGAATTTTCTGTAGTTGTTGAAAGTTGTCCTCAGAGCCTGGACACTAATGGATCTCAAACATGACAAAACATCCTATAAAACATCGTAACACAAAAGCAAAAAAAAAAAAATCTTAAAAACCATCACAACAAAAAGAGATCACTTACAAAGGATTTGCATTTAACACAAACAAAAACATTTACAAATTAGATATGCACAAGTACATTAGCCTCTAGCCATATCTGGCTATTAAAATTAAATCAAAAATTAAAAATCCATATCTATATGTGGCTAATGGATACTATAATGGAGAAAATATAGAACATTTTCATCCTTACAAATTGTTGTAATAAGCCAGGGGTCCTCAAACTTTTTAAACAAGGGCCAGTTCACTATCCCTCAGCCCATTGGAGGGCCAGACTATAGTTTAAAAAAAAACTACGAACAAATTCCTATGCACACTGCACATATCTTATTTTGAAGTAAAAAACAAAACGGGAACAAATACAATATTTGTACTTGCATGGGGCCCGCGGGCCGTAGTTTGAGGACCCCTGTAATAAGCAATGCCAACTTAGACTGATAGCTGACTTTCAATAGCAATAAGGGAAGTTAGAAGGCAGTGGAATAATATTTTTAATGTGCTAAGAGAAAAAATGTCATCTTAGAATTCTATACACATCAAAGAATCTTTGAAGAATAAAGTAAAGACATTTTATACAAGCAAAGAAATAAGTTTGTTAACAAACTAAAAGAAAGTTTAAGGGATAAACATTGGAAAACAAGAGAATGATTTCGTATGAAAAATTTGAGATTTTAGAAGGAATGATGAACAAAGAAAATGATAAAAATGTAGGTAAATATAAACAAATATTGTATAAAATAGTAATGTCTCATTTTCTGGAAGAGGAAGAATAGATACAACTAAAACACTGTACACTAGCATGTAAATTGGAAGGGGCAATTGGAATTAAAATGTGCTTACGTATTTGTAGAAGATGTAAATACAAAAACAAGCAAGGAAAGGGGAAAAAAGAGAGGAAAGTCAGGATAAAGTGAAAGTACACCAAATGGTAGAAATAAATTCAAATATATCAGTAGGGACAATAAATAAAAATGAATTAAACTCTCTTGTGAAAGGAGAGATTGACAGAATGGATTAAATCCAGATACATCCTGTATGCAGAAGACAATTTCAAACATACACAGAAAGTAAAGAGGTAGAAAAAACACTAGGCGGGTATTTAAAAAATAAATAAATAAATAAATAAATAAAGCTAGCCCTAGTTGGTTTGGCTCAGTGGATAGAGCATCGGCCTGCAGATTGAAAGGTCCTGGGTTCAATTCCAGTCAAGGGCACATGCCTGGGTTGCGGGCTTGGTCCCTAGTAGGGGGTATGCAAGAAGCAGCTGATGAATGATTCTTTCGCATCCTTGATGTTTCTATCTCTCTCTCCCACTCTCCCTTCCTCTCTGAAATCAATAAAAATATATTTTAAAATAAATAAAATAAAGCTAATGTAAACATGTTAATACAAAACAATTTTTTGTCTTAATGTTTACAGATAAAGGAATGTCAATATCTCTATATATAAAACCCTAATATGCAAATAGACTGAACAGCAGAACAACCAAACAACCGCTATGACATGTACTGACCACCAGGAGGCACATGCGGAACATGGTGGGCATCAGTTGCGGAGGGATGGTGGAATAGGTGAGCAGGGGCGCTGGCCCCACTCACACCCATGGCCAGTGCCCAGTGCCAGTCCTGACCACTCTGGGCCATCAGCAGTTGTGAGCAGCAACTGCCAGCACTGACGGGTAATTGGGATAGTAGCCGCAGCTCGCACCTGCCGCCAGCACCGGCCCCGCTTGCACCTACTGCTGGCACCAGCCCCAATGGCTCCCCACCATCAACAGGTATAAGCGGGGCCAGCGTTGTCAGTGCGTGGGAATGGCACTGGGAGCGAGGGCATGGCGGGAGGGGCCAGGCAGGGGCACGGAGGATGGGATGAGACCTGCTCTTTGCCCACCACAGCCTCATGGCCCACAGTTCCTTTCAAAGTGCATGAATTCATGCACTGGGCCCCTACTAATACAATAAAAGGTTTGATTTACCAGAAAACAAAGCCTTAAAATATTTAAGGCAAAGATGGGTATGAATACAAAGAGTGTAATTGAAAAAGTCACCTTTTCACATAACTATCTCTGTAATTGATATATCAAACAGACAAAAAAAAAAACAAACCCCTCAAAACCCCCTTAAACTAACAGTGGAAATATCAAAACAGTATCACATTTAATACTTTGATCTCACCTAAGAGAACACTCGACCCAACAACTGGAGAACACACATCCTTCAAGCACATGTAAAATAGTTTCTGGAAAAGGACTAAATGCTGTCATAAAGTTAGTCCCCAAGTTTCAAAGACCTTATTTTCTAACTACAATGCAATAGCGTTAGAAATAACAAAAATATAGAAAAATGCAATGCTTGAAAATGTTAAGCTTCTAAAAACTAAAAATCTACATTACATATTAACATGGGTGAATCTCAAACAATTAAAATAATTAAGTCACAGAAGACTATATAAAGAATGATTCATTTGTTTAAATTACAGAACATTTACTGGTGATAAAACTTTAATGTAAAGACAAGGAAATGATTTATAGAAAATTCACTGTAGTGGTTATCTCTGGGTGGTAAGGGGACTGTGAGGGTAGGGTAGAAGGAAGATATATAAGGGTCTCTATAGCACTATTATTTCATTTATTGAGCTAGGGCTGGAGTTCTGGGTGATCATTTAAAATTTTTTACATACTTAAAAAAATGTTTAATATACTTTCAGATGACAACAGAATTATAATCAGCTATAAAAAATCTGAGGAGGAGCCCTAACCAGTTTGGCTCAGTGGATAGAGCGTCGGCCTGCAGACTGAACGGTCCCAAGTTCCATTCCGGTCAAGGGCATGTACCTTGGTTGCGGCACATCCCCAGTAGGGAGTGTGCAGGAGGCAGCTGATCGATGTTGCTTTCACATTGATGTTTCTCTCTATCCCTCTCCCTTCCTCTCTGTAAAAAATCAATAAAATATATTTTTTTAAAAAATGTGAGGAGGGGAAAAAGGAATTAGGTATAACTGTCAGTGAAACTAAAAAGTGATAAGGGTGAACAAGTTACCACCCATATCCAAGCTCTCTTTCTAGATTATCCAATGCCTCTCCCTGCTTCACTGCTCTGTGATAGTTAGGAAAGGAGCAATCTCTCTCATCTAAGGTCTCCCTTATTTCACTTCATGATCTTATCTGTCTTTCCTGATACAGATTATATTCACTAAAATGTCCACGTTAAATCAAGTTTGTAGACACTTATCCTTATCTTTTCACCCTACAAAGGGTGTGATGGTATCAAGAAACAGAGTGAGACTGTTTTACCTGCATGTCACTTTTGGCACCTTTCACAGCATCAAAGAGATCACTGGGTGGTGGCTCTGATTCTTTCTGGCTATGACCACGTATCATTTGAGACCCCTTCTTAGGATGTTTTGCCACCTAATAAGTATAAAGAAATAAGGAATATTTTTTAAAAGTGACATTAACATGTAGTTTCATCATCACATAGGTAGGCTTAAGTTGCCAATTATACAGCAGAGTTTGAGTTACTGCTTAGATCTGAAATAATTTTTATATTGTGAAAATTTCCTCTGAAAAAGCCCCTTAGCCCTATTCTTGTTCCTCTGAATCCTAATAACCCTTCTCTTTTATTCTTTTCTCTTCAAAAGTTGCCTTCTTCCTACTCTGTCTCTTAAAACTCTTTTTTTAAAAGTTTTTATTTACTTCAGAGAGAGGACAAAGAGGGAGAGAGAGATAAAAACATCAATGATGAGAGAGAATCACTGATCGGCTTGTCTCCTGAACACCCGCTACTGTGGAACAAGCCTGAAACCTGGGCATGTGCCCTGACCGGGAATCGAACCGTGACCTCCTGGTTCTTGGGTCCATGGTCTACCTCTGAACCACACTGGCCAGGCTCTTAAAACTCTTTAACAAGTCGTCCTTTCATCAAACATATCTCCTGAGCCTCTTTGAGATTTTCTTTAGCTGCTTCCCAAACCAGATTTGAAAACAAAAAATTGACTGACTCACAGGGGTTGTTTTGAGTGGTCGTTTTGCTGCTCTCTTCTTCATATTGCGTCTCATGCTGTCTTCAAAGTCACTGCCTTCATCAGCTGACAAAGAATCACTATCCCTATGAGGGAATGTGGTTCTCCTTAAATACAACACCCCAGTTCCTCCACAGGAAAGGGTAAATAAATTATAATTTCTTTTTATTTCTAACAGTACCCCCTTCTCCATGAGAAAAATATATTCAGATTTTCTTCAGGAAGACATGAGCTTACTGTTAACCAGTAAGGACAAATTCTTAAAGAAAAACTCACTTGAATAAAGCAATGGCGATGAAGAATGAGGACCTAAAACCCTTTATTGTCTCTAAATCTACACCAGTATATATAAAAGCCTCAGTGACTGTTACGACCGAACGACCAGTCTACCAGTCACTATGACACACTGACAATGCAGGAGCCAACCTCCCTCCGCTGGCAAACCTCCCCCCATCCCTCCCCCTGTCCGCAGGCCCGGTCAGACAGGCCCCACCAGGTGGCAGGCAGGCCCCCAGGCCCCGGCCGGCCCGGCCCCGATGGGGACTGGGCGAGACAGCCCCAATAGGCCGGCCGGGGCCTAGAGACCCCACCTGCACACCCCCTACTGTAGAATTTTTATCCCATGTGCACGAATTTTGTGCACCGGGCCTCTAGTAAGAAGATAAAGTGATATTTACTTAAGCAGGCAGAGGGATCACTGCTGTGTGGAGATAAGTGAGCATGGCTTGGGAAGTCATAGATTACTCATACATAAACAGGAGATGAACATAGGCCTGAAGTTAAATTCCACCCCTTGAAACAAATTCACATGTCTTACTGATTCCCATTAAGTTTATAACATAGATATAATCTGGTTCTCAATAGCAGTACTGTCAGAAACAGAAATGATTTGGAGGACGTCAACTGAAATAACCAGGGGATAAATCGGTTGTTTGCATAGGATTATTTTTTTCTGGAAAGATTAAAAAAATAACCTTCACAGGAAAAGCTCAAAAATGGTAACAAGTAAGGATAGATGGACCTGTATATAAAATCCCCAAATAAAAGCACTGAAGGGCACCAACTGCAAAGTGGAGCTGCCTACTACATGTCAGGCAACAAAGAACTCCGTCTTCCCCTTCCCCTGCGTCCCTGCTCCCACCAGAGGCTGCCCGCGGGGAACATACACACGTGTTCGAGAAAGGTTTGCCGAGCTGGGGGACAGATTCAGACCAGCATGTGTTACTCCTGATGCCTGCAACATGTAGGACAGATAAAAACTGCCAGCAGCGCTGGACCCGGGCCCTGCTGTGAACCAGCAGAGCACCTTGTACTATGGCGTCGGTAAAACGACAGAGGAGAGCTGCCGACCGCGCAGGCGAAAGCCAGACAAGGTAACAATTTTTTGCGCCAACTCCACTCACCCCTCTGAAGTCTGGTCCGAGTCCCTGTCATCCCAGGGCACATTGACATACAAACTGGAGGCAGACAGGCTCCTCTGTCCACCTCGCATGGCTCGCTGCAGTGGGGAGGACATACTGCCTGAGGAGGAGGAGGAGCTATGGCGCCGGGAGGAGGCAGGGCGAAGGGTAGGCATGGTGGTCCCGCTGGAGGAGGAGAGAGAGAAAATGGCTCCAATCCTCCCAGCTACCCCTTTTCTTTCCAAAGGAACCGCTCGGAACTTGGGGGGGGCACACACAATAGACAGTCTTGACCTAAGGCACCAGGGCAGTAAAGGCAGACAGATGCAGACCAGAGGCCGGAGCTGCTACCCAAGGTCAGAGCAAGGCGCGCGCCAGAGCAGCTGAAAGTGGACCCCACTCCCGATTTGGAAGCGCAAACTGCCTGGTGCAAATGAACCAGCAAACACGCAACAAACACATAAAAATCGAAAAGCACCCAGACGTTCAATTTCTAGAAAGTTAGTACTACTTGATTCCACACGGAATGGAATGGGACATTTTTAACGAATGGGGGTGGGGGGGCGCCATTAGAATAGGGCCAGAAATGCTGAAGGAATAAAGGAAAGTTCGCGTTCTCTACTTTCCCAGATGATGGTACTTCTGACCCTCCCTGGGATAAGTTTCTTTGGGCTGAGGAACCTTCTAAAACGCTCACGAGACTATCAGTCTTTCAGGTACTGGAAATGGGAGAGGCCACTAAGGCATGGAGGAAGAGGACAGGAGGGCGGGCAGGGAGTGTGGGTGGGGGCGGGGGAGGACCGCGAAGTAGGGGACGTATTCTCAGGCTAAAGAGGAACCTCACTGCCTGGGCCCGTACAGCGACTTCTGACTGAGTGGGGCTGAGGAAAAGTCACCGCCTGGGGTCCGTCCCTCTGACCGCTGGAATCACCCCACCTGCGACACAGGCGCCGCTTCCCTTCCGGAGGCAAAAGAATCCAGAAAAACGCGGGAAGGCGCGAGGTGCGTTGTGCGCAGGCGCGAGCCCAACGGTAATTGTCGCGAGGCTTGCCCGTGTGCGAGCTCGTGCTCAC